TAAAATAAAATAAGAAGCTCATTGTTTAAAGAAACCTGTCCACGAGTCTATTGGTGGGAAACTTTGCAGTATGTTAATTGATATGGTTTCTAAGTGACAATAGTTTGAGCTGATATCATAATAAAAAGTGGGAAATTGCATCTATAGATGATGACAGAAGGAGTGATTCTTATGGCAAGTGGACATAAAATTACAGCAAGAACGATATTACAATCTACCTTTACTGTAGGAACTTCTCTACACTTCATAATGTGTGGGTAATTGACATTGAGGAAGAGTGCATATTGAGAACTGACTTCATGCACAAACATGGATACAAGGTTAGGCTAACTTCACAGTCTATGACCAGGAAATTCCTAGGTCCTATGTGGCCGTTACTATCACGAGATTTAACTTCCTGTGAAAATAAGATTAATCATGATATGACGAAGATGTGAATTAACCATCAATATTTATTAAAATTATATTTAAATCTAGTGAATAGGCCATAATAGAATCAAACACTCCAACATCTCCTGGTGGATTAATGGTTAGTAGAGCTCTTATGGAACTAAAGAATAAAGATGTCATTATTAAGGCCATGAATAAAACAAACTGTAAGATTCTAGTCATATTGAGATGAGACATGGCAAGATGAAAGGCTATACAGTTAACACTTCTACATAATTTTTTAGGATAGATGTAAGAAGTCCAATGACAAACCTTTGTGTTAGGACAGCATACCCTCTTAGTTACAAGAGTTGTATTATGGGAGCTGTGGAGATTCCACAACTGATCAGTACCAGTGGTTACATAACTTGCTCACAGCATATAAAAACACCTCCTCCAAGCGACGTTATGAATTAAACTGAACAAGTCAAATATTTCACAAGATAGATACTGGAGATGCATCCCCAATACGTCAGCCAGACAACTTCTACTTGCAAAACAGTCTGAGGCTGTTAACGAGATCGAAGCCATGAAGGAACAGAGAATAATAGAATCAAGTACTAGCCCTTGGACATTACCTATCATTATTTGAGAAGGATTGATCCACATGTTTCTGTGTGGACTACTGGAAGGGGAACAAAGTTACAAAAATGGTGCCTTCCAAATGCTGAGGGTTGACTGCACCTTGGATGCTTTACCTGGATCAATAAATTTGTAACATTGCTTCTTAAAAGTTAATATTGACTAGTGCAACTTGATGAAGGAGGTAGAGGGAAGACAGCCTCTAAAGCAGGAAAGAGATTGTGGAAATTTGTTGTGTTATTATTTGGATTATGTAGCATGCTTATTTTATTTCAGCAGTTAATGAAGTGTGGTCTCACTCTCTTTCTGAATTACGCTGGAATTTCATACTAATCTACATGGATAACATAAATGCACATGGGAAGACCTTTGGTAATGCTTATCAAGGACTAAAAGAGGTTCTGGAATGGTTGGGGAAAGAGAACCTAAAGCTGAATTATTCCATCAACATGCGAGTTTGATGTGACACTAGTCATTAGAAGAGAAGTGTCTAGAAATCCATTAAAGATTGGCTTTGTCTAGAACTGGTTAACACTAAAGAACCTGCATGAGGTTAGAGGATTCCTTGTGCTGTGCTCTTACTATTGCCGTGTGAAATGCTTGGACATCATGTAAGCTAGTCGTTTGGAGTTCGACTTAATCCAGCTCACAATAAATTTATTTAATTCCAGGTTACAGTTGCGAGTGGAGCACACAAGCCACTAACTCGAGGAACTTACAGTTAGATTAAATAATTGACTCTGAGACTAATATTAAAAAATTCACTTCAAATCTTTAATGCAATAATTCTAAATATTCACATACATTAATATTGACAAAAGTATTTCGATTAGTTTTTACACCAAATAAATCAAATGCTTTGTTCTGAACAACCAGTTTTGCTAATTAGATTCTCTACAATACTCATTCAATTACTCACTATAACCAGCAAATTATATATTAAAATGTTATTTGACATATGCTCAGACAATACTCTCCTTAACATTATACATTTTACATCAAATCCTAACTACATTATTGAATTTGAGAGAGATAGCAACAGTTACTTACATGGGGATCGAGCAAGAAATAGTAGTTGGTCTTTGCAAGGAAGACATTGGCATAGCAGATACAGTCTTCAGTATAGTCAGTTCTGGAATAGCCAGTATCAGCAGGCTGACGTCCTTTCTTCAAGAGGCAGAAAACTTATTTTCAGCCCCAAAACACGGGTTCTTATACTCATTTCTTGTGGTATCCTTACAATTCTCCAAATGTGTACACATTTAACCCGTAAGTAGATCTGTCACTTAATTGGATAAAATTTGCAGAATAATCGTGATTCTCGGAACTAAAAACAAAAATACTTCAATAATTGGTCATAGTTAAAGATGGTAAATCGGCAGCCTGTTTTCATGTATCTCTCATTGTCTTTTTCACATCAAAGTTCCGCCCAGAGTTTCTGATTTCTTTACTAATTCCTTTTATAAAATTCACGTCCACTCTCTAATGAAGCTAATATAAACATTTCCATAGCTTTCTCCCTGCTGCGATGGAGTCAGTTTGTGGACATGAAACTCGTGTTCAGTCTCTAATCAAGTTTATATAAACATACTCACAGCCTTCTCTCTGCTACGATTGCATCAGTTTATGAATAATGTAAACATCTGTTTCTCAATATCGACTAGAATGCATCTTTGGTTTACACTTGACATACCTTTCCTTTCGTAGTCAAACGACCATTTTTGTTACATATATTTCTCACTCCTTGAAGCATTGAAAATAACGAAAAATGCCACAATGCTTCAGTCGTTTTACAAAATATATATTTGGCACAGTGCATTCTCTACACAAAGTACTTGAGAAACCAAATAAGTTTGTTTGACTATTAATTATGAACAAGCATTTATCAAAGAGAGAAATAATTGATTACTTCTCTCAAATTAGAATGTCCAACTCTGGAAGATCCATTCATTTTAGATAAAGGTGCAAGTAATTTTACAGTGTAGGCAGGTTGTCACAAGTACAACAAAGAAACGAACGTGCAATTGCCAACTATAGAAAAGCAATGAATGCCACAAAAACATGTTGTAAGTGTTGATCAAGTCCTGAGTCACTTCAGTCATTATCTATATAGACTGTAGAGAAAGGTTTCATTTCAGACCAATCATGGATCATTAAAGTGACTGGTGAATTTTTACAACCCAGAAGGCCAAATGGCAAAGTGGCTCAATAAGCACCATGAAGACAACTTTAACATCATACATTGCCCTGGATAGACCAATAGAAATTCTAATGCATTATCCCAAATACAACTAATCTAAAGTATAGTTCAAGATGTGGTATCTGCCAATGATGATGACGAACTGATGTTGTCCAACTAGAAGTTGCTCACACAAAAGATGTGAGATTGAAATCAATTATTAAGTGGCTCAAGAATAATGCAGGAAGATCCTCATAATCATTCAGTTAAAAATAAAGATGTATTTTGCACAGTTGGATACTTTATTATTAAAAGAGGACTTATTATGTCATAAATGGGAAGATACCAGAGACGGAAAACAATGACTACGCTTCCTTAGTTTCTACCTTTTGAAGGACTCTGTCATCTACATTCCAATGGCTAGAAATATAGATGTTAAAAAGACATTGGAGCAAGTAAGAGAATGCTTCTACTGGAGTTGGATGCCGGGGACCTGTTGTGAATCAATGTGTGAACTATTCTATGAGTAGAAATGTCCATAAAAGGAACAGCATGGGCAGCTACAGTGATATTGTGTTAGAGCACTATTGGAGGGTTTCTTTGATTTGCTTGGTCCTCTTCCACAGAATAACAGCAGGTATTGATACATCATAGTTGTGATGGACTATTTCAGGAAATGACCAAAAGCATATGTTGTTCTTAACCAGAAAGCAGAAACTCTTGCAAAGAAATTCGTCAACGAACTTGTCTGAAGTTTTGATGGTTATGGCACTTCCCTCGAATCAAGAATGGAATTTTGAATCAGTCTTGTTCACAGAAATGTTGAATTCTCGAAAGTAATAAGATCAAGACATCAGTCCTTCATCCATCTCCCGATAGCATTGTGGATAGATACCACAGCACACTATTAAATCAATTAGCATGCATGTGGATGAATATCAGTAAGTGTCGGACCAAGATCTTCTACTGCTACTGATGAGTTATCATAAAGCAATACAGGAAGCTACCTGCAACACACTACCATCATTGATAATCAGGAGTAAGTTGAAAGTGTCATTTGACTTTTTATACTCTTATAAAGAGAATATTCATTTACAGCAGACTTACACAGAATATGTAGAACTATTATGAACGGTTTACGGAAAATTCTTTGTAAACAAATCTTCAAAAACCAGTTCTTTGAAATAACAGTTAATCAAATGTCCAGTTTTTAGATCGATTTTTAATTATAAATTAATTTACAAAATATTATAAAAAGGCATATAACTTACCTTTCCATGAACTTTCAAAGTAAAATGGACCAATATTATTCAATGCACAAAGAAAGACATACATATGTAAAAAATTAGGTATTTAATTAATCAGAATGGAGATTATTATTACATAATGATATTACATTAGGCAATTTTATCAGACCATTAAAATATTCAAAAACACCAATATTATTTATATATATTTTAATCATGTAATAATTAATAATTTGTTATATGCAATACCATACAAGTAATCATTCATGTTATTTGTTGGTTGAAGCGCATTGACAAGTCTTTTTAATCTCTCTGCATAGTCACGATATTTTTTCCGACCAATAGAAGGTTCCTGAATCTACTCCAAAGTTGCTCACTACATAGCTCGTTCAAACTTTGTTCCCTCTTTAACTCAGAAATGAACTTCCACATATTTGGATGATTTGCAGAAACTTGTTGCACAAAGCCACGATGCCATCCTTCTATAGAATTGTAAGTTTTTGGAATGCCTTCTAGCAGTTCCACATCTCAAGCTTAAATACAGGAAGTCGAAGTCGTTGTCTTCAATCAGGACGTCCAATCCAAGTATCCTCAAAATAATCAATCGCAGGTTGAGCTTCGGGTGGAAAAATGTTTTCACCAATAAGAAAGTTGAACATCTCTGCAATTTGGTCTGTAGGAATAAATGCTAGTGCAGAGGGCATACGAATCTTTAAAGCGAAGTCTGCAGCTGTGTCGTATCTTTGCTTGAGGTCATTTTCACTAATTTTATGATAAATACACTGATAAAAATGAAAAATAAAAGCACCCACGATTAACTGCACGTGGAATTTCAGTGTCAATTGCACTTCTCTTTGCAAGTTGTAAATCTGTTTGTATAGACACGGAATTTAAAGCATGTACTAACTCCTTTATCTCTCTAAGAAGTCTAATATATGTGTGCTCATTCTTATTCAGCAACAATGCATAAATTAAAGGGATGGTAATAATTTCTTGCACCCCGTGAATCGGATAAAATTGTTCAAAAATATTTGGAACAGTCTTAACTGTTCCATCAGCATACAGATGATCGGAACTTGCTAGTAACTGTAGGTTTCTTCCTGTAAATCAATATTCGATCATCTGATCATTTGACAACACCAGAGTCAAACATTGAAACTGTTCTCCATTTTCAGTTTTAGTGTACATTTCTGGAAAAAACTATATCTTTGATCATTTGGAGTAACTAATCCTAGACTTTATTTCCCATGTAAATTTCGAATAGTTATTTTTATGCTATCTACAAAGGACAACCTAGCTGCTACAGCTTGGCTAAATTCAAAGGATTCGTGTGAGATAACATAATGCGGTGCATCATGTGTATTCTTTGAATCATTTTGTATGCTGTGCATTACATTCTTAGCTTCAGTACCAGCGGCATCGCCAGAATTGTTGTGCTCACGATTCTCACACAACCCTTGCAATTTTTCCAGATTGCTCACATTTCCAATAAACATTTTCCTGCACTTGTTTCTCTTTAACAAATACATATCCATTCAACTAAACTTAGAAAAAAAGACAAAATCCACAATTAAGCAGGTGCTAGTATGAACAATATACTGTACTTTGGAGAATTAATGATGTGATTTACAGAATCTAGAAGGATAAGCAGTCCAAGCCAAAGTTCGCCCATTGTGATTGTCTTTGGAAGTATGATGACGAAAGAATGACCAACAGGGTAGCTCCAGAGAATAATTTGTCAGCAAACTTTCAACTACTGTAGAGCCTGGAGTTTCTGTCAAAACTACTTCAAGAAGATCAGCAAGGCTGGAGCCGTCAGTAGGTTCACCTGACCACCTACTGAGGAAAAACTCCCCACAATACGAGACAAGATGCCATTTCACTGTATACCATGAACCTCGGAAGAAAAACACCTCAAAGATTTGGTGAATGACCAGTTTAATGTCGAATTATATATTTTTATTTTAACATTAAAATTACTCATATGACTTCATAATACAGGAAAGGAATAGTGTTGTAAGTTATATTTTTAATTTTGTGATTTGTTTGTTTGGTAGTTGGAGCTTCGGTTCATTGATGATGTAATGGTGACTGAAGTCGGTCGGCTAGAAAGTTCTACGATTTTGTTTGAAGTTTTGTTTTAGTAAGTTATAAGCAAGATCATAAATACGAGTTAGATTTGAAAACTAGAGTTATTGAAAATAGTGTATGAATCAATCAGTGTATTTTCATTGCAATTGTTTTCCATTAGTCTTGGTATTTTAAGGAGGTTTTAACGACATTTGTAACACAGGCTTACAACAATTTACTGCAGTGTATAAGTGTCCATTCTTGTGAAAAAGTGAAGGAAGAAATAAACTAACTTCTTCTCATTATGTGAACTGGATAATACCAGATAATTTTAAAATGTACTCCTCATCCAAAAAATAACATTAAAACACTATTATTGTAAATAAAATAACCTGCACCTACAGAGTATATACTTAGTATCTCAATATTTTACTATTACAGCTTCGTCAGGAGCTATCGGTAGCTTACAAGTTCTCTAATTAACTGGATTAGCGAAACTTGTAAAATAATGGTAGCTTTTGACGAAGCAAAGATACATTTTGGACCATAGTCATTGTTATTATTATTATCATTGTTTTACATTAATGAAAACATTACATGTAAAGGTATTACATGGAATAAAGTGTAAAGATGTAACTGGAATACGTTTTATTTATTTTTTAATTTCCTTGACATGGAAGATCAAGTTTTATGTTTAACTGATTTACAATATATAAATGTATAGATGACATTGAATTTATTTTAATTTTTGCTATTTAGTGCACATAATGATTATATTGTGTACAAGGTATGGCACTAGAAACTGTTAAATGTCTTAACATTTCCTGGGTATGATTTGTTTGGTTATTCTTAAGTACAAAGCTACACAATGGGCTATCTGTGCTCTACCTACCACGATTATAAAGTCCAGTTTTTGCGACTTATTACTGAATCATTAGGAGGACTTGTGTATGAAGATCATATTTTATATTTCAAGGTTATACTACGAACGTAGAGATGGAATTGGAAATTTTCAAATTTTTATTTTCAAATTTCCTCCACATGCAAGGCAAGTTTCATATATATTTAAAACTCTTAGAAGATATAAGATAGTGTTACAGCAGCGGGATCACGTGACGCTAGTAACACATCATATTCTCGAACGTTCACGTCCATTCCTGAAATCTCGAGAGCCTACTAGATATGCGGTATTCTTGTATATATAAACTGGTAAGAACTGAAGGCAACAAGGTAATGTGTAATTGAACTGCGGACAGAGAGACGTATTGTTGAGTCGAGCACGTGAGACGTTCGTTGTGAATTATAGCGTTTGTTATAGCGCGACTGTGGAAATTAAGTGTATTGCAAAGTTGTATTTAGAAAGAATAAACCAGTTTTATTTAAGAAAGGACTCGTATCGCTAAAGTTTTTCGGAAAGAAATTATATCGAAAATTAACTAACGAACGGAGGCGTAACAATAGAATCAAAAGACATTTCCAAATTTCTTGCACAGGTGGTTGTTGTTTTAGCATAGAGCTACACATAGGACTATATAGGTGGTGTACACTTCAGGAAATCGAAAATCTGATTTTAGCATTGTATATCTATAATTATATCGCTGACTCATTGGTGGACTCCAATTCAGAGGTCTAGGGCTAAATTTTTCTACTGGGCCTATTATGGTTGCAACTAAATGCTAAGTTGAAAAGGACTAAACTTCAAGATATTTTTTACTTTTGGAGACAATGAAAAAATAATACCCACAGATTTGCAACACTCGTCAACAAATTAATGAGCAATATTAGATGGTATTTGAATAAGAAAAGTGGTGATAACACAGACAAAATATGCATTTGGACAACAAAACATATGGACAGAAAGAAACCATATTCACATAAACTCAACAACTCATATTCACACACAAACATACACACATGCTTAGATCACACTGGTACTCACATAGTATGCCCAGCAATAGTAACAGATCGTGTCATCTGTACTTGGTTAAATTACTGTCTTCCTGGCTCTTCTTATAGCGTGACTAGGTCTAGCCTCCTTAGACCTAGCATATTTGCATTGCAAACTGTATGCAAATATGCTAAGTCAGAACGGCGCTACACCTACTCACACTATTCGGAGGCAAGCCAATCAAATTTCTGCACTATACATCGCATGATAGGCCTACCATATCACACACAAACTCTCTCTTTCTTGAAAAATAAGTAGACTCGGTAGAACGAATTTTATTAAGCATTTTCCTAAAAAAAATAGTCTTTTTTTTATATAACGGACCTTTTTTGAAACCCGTGCCGTGGGATACAGCAGCAATAGCTCCCAGTTTAACCCGCCCCTTCTCCAATGTATGAAGCTTTATATTTAAACGTTTTAAAAAATATATACAGTGTACAAATGGTATTGGATATTGTTTAATCTATACAAAATTTCCTGCATATCAAGTGCAAGCTTACTCATTAAACGTTTGAGAGACAGAAACCGTATAGATGCAATAGAAAATATTTCGTTTTATAAAGAAAAACTCATGCGTATGAAGATTATGTTTCATGTTTAAAATTTTTTACAAGATACAGAGTTTATAATGGCACAGAAAACTTTTTATAATTACCTGGATATGGAGATCAAGTTTTATATTTAACATAGGATCTCTGCCTCAACAAATGATCGGACATAAAAATTCCAGGATTTATCTGATTTTGGCGAAACTTACCTAGAATGTAGCATAGTACGAGATATGAAGACTACATTTCATAGTTTCAAATCGGACAAAACAATTACCGATTTATCTTTGGCCACACCATCAGCAGTTATTGCCAGCATTTATATAAAAATGTTACAAATTTCCGTTCTTTTTCACCAAAGGTAACATTGAAAATATCTGAGACGTAGAGGCCTATCGCAATTCTTGACTGGCCGTACCCTCTGCCTTAGTAAAAGAAAAGAAATTTCTAATATATATATATATGATCATTACACAGTTGGTACACTATATAATATTGAATAATATATCCAGCAGAATACCATAACATTGTTCATACGCATAAATTAATTTAGGTTACTATATGGTTAATTAACAAGTCTCAAAAATTCCATACCTGTTACTCACGTATCACCATTATAAGAAGCCTAACTGTATTGTCTTTGGTTTGCTGACCCAACTGCAATACCCATCAAAGGGTGTGGACAATAAAGGGACGCATTAGCCCCATCTTTTATGTAACAGATATTTTAAATTTTGCCTTTATTGAAAAGAAAACAAATATGCACCAAATAGTTTATCCGTTCTATAAAGCGAATTACATATTAGTAACAATGATTTATTCTTCACACACTTAAGTTCATTTAGGTTATTATTATATGGTGAATTAGAAGGGATTGAATACCCCATAACTTTTAATGACAGTACTTCTTCTTGGGTAACCGACGAGTCCGCTACGTGAGCCTACTTCTTCGCTCGTTCTTGCATCTGTTATTTAGACCAGAGTCCAATAGATCTTCAGCAGATAGCTTCAAGCACAACTGACCGTTACTGGAACATTGCTAATCTTCGTGATATCATCATCAATCATCATTACTGTCTCGATTATCTGCATGTGCTAGATTTCAAGAAGTTTGATTTGAAACATAGGCAGCCGCTGTAGATGCAATCACGATGGTCTTTTTGACATCCCTTTTTGAGGTAGATACATCTATTAAG